TCTGGAAGACCCCCTGGAGATGGGAATGGCAACCCTCCAGATTCTTGCCTGCAGAACCTCATGGATGGGCTATAGTCCATAGGGTCAAAAAGAGTCAGATTTGAACACTTTCACTTTAAACAAAATGACTGGATTTGGGTAGGAGTGGGAGGGCCAGGACAGGTGAAATACAGGACCCCTTTGGAGGGCAGGAGTTTAGAATTTAAGTGGAGGGTGGCTCTCCCTTCTGAAGGCAAAATAGAGCCAATGAGGAGCTTGTAACAATCCTGCAACCCTGCCCCACCAAAGACTTCAACAAGGATCCCTGGACCTGGGCATGGGCCCTGGGGCCCTTAGAAAGCTCCCCTGTGACTCTAATATGCAACTAGGCTTGAGATCCACCTATGAAGAGAACAGAAAGAGAATCAGCTGGTGTGCTAGCGACTACCACCAAAGGTTTATTAAAACACAGATGGCCTCCATTCCAGAAGTTTTTTAGGTTTTTTTTAAGATTTTTTTTTTTTTACATGGACCATTTTTTAAAAAGTCTTTATTGAAGTTGTTTTACAGCATTGCTTCGGTTTTATGTTTTGGCTTTTTGGCCACGAGACGCATGCGATCGACCCTGCACCCATGGCACAGCATGGCAAAGCCTTAACCACTGGACTGCCAGGGCAGTCCTCCACTCCAGAGGTTGTGATTCAGCAGCTCTGAGGTGGAGACACAGAGTTTGCATTTTCTAATAAACTCCAAGTGGATGCTGCTGCTTCTCCTGGGCCAGGTATTACAGTTGAAAACTCCTGGGCCAGGACCACCCAGAAGCAGAGTCTGTGGCTGCAGTCAGGGAGGACCAGTGGAATGTTTCTGAACAGGAGAGAGAGAGACTCAGAGCAGACAGTGATAGGAGAGGTGGCTGTGGACGCCTGCGTCTCCCCTTCCGTCACAGACAGACAGTGGACTGGAGCCCTGGTGGGTGGAGCCAGGGCCCTTGGGGAGGGACAGATGCCTGAACCCCCAAACAGAGAAGCTGGCCCCTCCCTCATTCTGTGATGTGGCTCCTCCCACCGCCCCCCAGACTGGGCAGAGCAGGGTCTCAGCTCCCCACTGATCGCTCCTCTTATCACTTCTTTCTCTAGCAAACTGAAGCCTTTCTACTCCACAGAGGCAAGCAGTGAGCTGATGGATATCAGTATACACTCTGTAGTTTCTCTCCAGCCCCCAGGAGAGAGCAATGCGTCCATTAAGGTAGGTCCCTCTGCCTCACCTCATTTTCTGGGTGAGGACTTGGAAGCTGACGTTCACATGGGCAGTGCTGGGAGCCCACCGTCCTGGACCACCTGGGAGTGGTCAGGGCAGCAAAGTACAGCAGGATCTTTCAGTAAGTGTAAGGTGATGCAAGCTGCTGCAACAGATACACTCTGAAGTCTTCATGGTTTAACAAGATGACCGTTTTTCTCACTCGAAGTCCAGCTGGCAGCAGAAGTGGAGAGGTGGCTGCTTGCTGCAGTTGTTAGGGACGTGGGCTGACAGGTGAGGAAGCTGAGGTTCCGAGGGGTCCAGGGACTGGCCAGGTCCCATAGCTGGCGGCAAAGGAGCCCAGAGCCCGTCCTGGGAGGCGGAGCTCCGCATCCTCTCCTGTTCCCAGGGACGCCGCTCTGCGCATTGAGTCGCATCACCTGTCCCGTTTTGAGGCTGAGGAACGAGAGCCTCTCTCGGGGGTGACTGTGAACAGTTCTCCTTTCCAGGTCATGAGTGACCCGATCCTGCACCAGAAGAAGCTGCTGAACGGGCGGTGTTGATGCTGGAGAAGGGCGCGGAGCAGGAGGACGAGGTTCTGAGGGTGCTCTCCCTGCGTGCCCTCGGCAACGTGGCCCTCGGCGCCCCCAGGAAGGTCCGTGGGGGCCGGGGCGGGGGCCGGGGGTGAGGGGCCCATGGCGGCGTGTCCCGGGCAGCCAGGCGGGGGCTGATGGCCCCGTGTCCCCCAGGTGAGGCAGTACCGGAAGCTCTTACTGGAGAAGTGTGTGAGTTCCCTGCGGGGCCCCGGCGTGAGCACCAGCGTGACCTCTGAGGGCCTGGAGGTCCTGGCCAAGGGCTTGGTCGAGCTGCAGGAAGGGGACCTGGGGTCCGCCTTCAACGCCATCTCTGAGCAGTGCAGAGCCTTCTTTGACAACGTGAGTCCACACTGGCGCCTTGCTCGGCCCTGGCCCTCACAGGGGTCCCCACGACTGGCTGCTCAGTAGACAGGTGGCCACTGTTCACCCCTAAGGGAGAGAGGTGCCCTGGAATGAAAAGGGGTGCAGTTCTGACTTGGGTACTGATGTATCGATTGGCTGATCATGGGGGCTGTTAAAAAAAAAAATCTTGTTCTAGGGCCCATGGGACCCTCCTCCCCTGACTCTAATTCCTCCCAGCCACAAATGCTATATGGATATCTGTGATTTGTGGGGTGGGAACTCTGCTAAGTTGCAGTGGAGGCGATCAGATCCAGGACAGCCCCCGTCTAGGCAAGAGAAGGTCACAAACACCAGAATACTGCCCAGTCCCCAGAGCCCTGCAGGAGACACTCCATCCTGATGGAATGATCCAGAAGGCTTTGCAGGCACCAAGGCGGTTAAGAAGGTCCACGGCGAATGCCTGGGGTTTTGTTGGGCGTCTCGCTTCCCACGTTTCAGAAATAGCTCGTCTGTCTTGGCTGCAGGAGAGCGAGCTGCTGTGTAAAAAGCCTTCATTCTCTTCGGGAAGCTGGCACAGGTGGTCAGGATTCCCAAGAAGCATTTCTTCAAGCAGGAGATGAAGAAAGCCTGGGTGCCCCTCATGCTACATTGCCAGGACCCCTGCTCCGATGCCGCCCAGGTGAGACACACCTGGGCCCTGGGCCCGCTGTCCCCACAAGGAACATGTGCTTCGAGGCTGCTGCCCCAGCTCCTGGGGTGTCCCCTGCCTCCCTCAGTCTTCTTGGGAACCCAGAGGCCACCATCTGCTAGTTCCTCCCACCAGGCTGAGAAAGGGACCAATCAAGATAACCCACAAACTGGCTGATTGAGGAGTCTCGGCTCTGTGAGGGGAAACACGGCGTACTTTCCTTCTTCCCCAGATGCCGTCACCAGCCGCCCTTTGTTCTGTCTTTCTGTCACTATTCGTGTCCGATGCTGTGACCCCATGGACTGCAGCACGCCAGGCTTCCCTCGCCTTCACTGTCTCCCGGAGTTTGCTCAGACGCACATCCATTGAGTCGATGCTGCCATCCAACCATCTCATCCTCTGTCACCCCCCTCTCCTCCTGTCCTCAGTCTTCCGTGGCATCAGGGTCTTTTCCAATGAGTCGGCTCTTCACATCAGGTGGCCAAAGTATTGGAGCTTCAGCCTCAGCATCAGTCCTTCCAGTGAACATTCAGGGCTGATTTCCTCCTTTAGGACTGACTGGTTGGATCTCCTTGCGGTCCAGGGGACTTCAGGCGTCTCCCCAGCATCACCCCTGAGAGCATCGGCTCGTCTTCACTCAGCCTGCTGTATGGTCCAGCTTCCCCACTCATACAGGACCACTGGGAAACCACAGTTCTGATCATACAGACCTTTGCTGGCAAAGCGATTTGCCTCTGCTTCTTAATGTTCTCTTTAGGTTTGTCACAGCTTTTCTTCCGAGGGGTAGGCGTGTTTCAATTTCGCCCTGAGGTTTTGATTTGCATTTCCTCAATGGCAATGGTCCTGAAAATGTTTTCATGTGATTACTTGCCATTTGTATCTCTTCCCTTCGCCCATTTTTAAATTGGCTTATTTGTCATTATATTATTGAGTTATAAGAGTTCTTATATATTCCAGATACAAGTCCCTACTCAGGGGCTAGATTCGCAAACATTTTCTCTCATTCGCTGGGTTGATTTTTTCACTTTCTTTTTTATTTATTTATTTATTTTTATTAGTTGGAGGCTAATTACTTCACAACATTGCAGTGGGTTTTGTCAAACATTGATATGAATCAGCCATGGAATTACATGTATTCCCCATCCTGATCCCCCCTCCCACCTCCCTCTCCACCAGATTCCTCTGGGTCTTCCCAGTGCAACAGGCCCGAGCACTTGTCTCATGCATCCCACCTGGGCTGGTGATCTGTTTCACTATAGATAATATACATGCTGTTCTCTCAAAACATCCCGCCATTATTATTACTTATTATTGAGTTATAAGAGTTCTTTATATATTCTAGACACAAGTCCCTTCTCAGACCCTAGATTTGCAAATATTTCTCTCATTTTCTGGGTTGTCTTTTCTCTTTCTTGATGGTACCATTTTCAGCACAAAAATTTTTAGCTTTGATGATGTCCAATTTATCGTTTGTTTGTTTTTTTCATCACTTGTGCTTTTGGGTGTTATTTCTCAGAAGACTTTGCTCAGGCTAAGATCATGAAGATTTATATATACATTTCACTTTAAGAATTTTATAGTTCTATCTTTTATATTTACATATATGGTCCATTTTGAGTTCATTTTTGTGTATGGAATGAGAAGGGGCCCAACTTCATCGTTTTGTAAGTGGCTGTGCAAGTCTTCCCAGCATCATTTATTGAAAAGACTACTCCTGAGTACCAAGAATTGTCTTGGTACTCTTGTTGAAAATCAATTGACAGTAAATGTGAGGTCTATTTCCAGACCCTCAATTCTATTCCATCAATCTATTATCAATCCTGATGCCAGTATCACCTTGTCTTGTTTACTGTAATTATGCAAGAAGTCTTGAAATGGCAAAATCTGAGTCTTCCAACTTTGTTCATTTTTAAACCATAACTGTGTTTCCTATTCTTGGCCCCTTATAATTACACAGGAACTTTAGTTTCACGTTGTTAATCTCTGGGGTTGGGGGTAGGAAGCCAGCTTGGATTATAGTGGGGGTCGTGTTGAATATATAAATTGGCAAGTGTCACCATCTTAAATATAGTGACCTCTAAAGGGTGTACATGAAATGCTTTCCATTGGTCGAGACCCTCTCTGATCTTCAACAATGTTTATAGTTTTGTAAAGACCCCTCAATGATGAAATATACACACACAGTGGTCATGAGCCAACAGCTGGATGAGACACAGAGGAGAAACTAGTGTGTGGGGAGGGATGGGGGTGGGTGTGCAGCATGGTTTGATAGAAGGTGTTCTGGCTTCTACCCCCATCTGCCAAAGGTGGAGGTCCACCACCAAGGCCCAGCTCCATTTCCCCCTCCAGGCCTTATCTTCCCCCTTGGGCATCCTGTGGATCAGTGCCACCTTCACCATTTTCACTATTTACCAAAACACGTTCAGATCTCATTCCTTGCCATGGACTCTGCTAGGGACGACACTGCAGGTGGGGGTGAGGTGAGAGAAATGAGGAAGCTGGTGACTGGAGGGGAAATGTCCCCCGGCTCCAACAAAGCAGGTTCTTGAGGGGAAAACAAGACAGAACAAAACACCACAGCCCTCTGGTCTCGACCAGCCAGCCGTCTCCCCTCCCAGGGCACTGTGGGCAGCCTCAGGCCTACCTGGCCTCACGGGGGCTGTCCCCGGAGTCCCCTCCCTGTCTGAACGGCCCTGCCTCTGGGAACCAACCTTCTCCAGGGAGGGGCTGTCGAAGCTCTCCATCTGGTTGTTCAGCTCTTTGCTCAGACGCAGGCTCCAGCGGGAACCCAGAGTCATCTTGAGGGAGTTTCTCAGAAACTGGGGGTGGGGGAAGAAGGCACAGGTGGGCAGTGCTCCAGAGGGCTGTGCTCCTCGAGCCGACTCTCCCTCTCCAGCGCCTTCCCCAGTCTCTAGAGGGCTTCCCCTTTCACCTTCGACCCAGCCTTGTGCTGTGCCGGCTTGGGGGCTGCCGGGAGGGGTCACCCTGTGCTGCCTCCGGGGCTTGGGCTTCCAGGGTGGGGTCTCCTGCTGGAGCTGCTTGTGCTCCCCCAGTCTTGTGACAGGAGGGGAACGTGTCCCCTGGGGGCTCCTGAACTCCCCCCACGCCAAACCCACAGAGAGCTGCCCCCACCGCCCCCCACCCCGGGCTCAGGTGGCGGGATCACCTCCACCTGAATCAGCCTGTCCTCCCAAGTCTTCTGGTTCCAGGTAAACTCTGTGTGTTCTGCAGAGAGTAGGGCCACCCCTGCTCCTCTCTCCTGAGGCTCCTCCATGCCGCCTCCTAAATGCAGCATCTGGGGTCCTCCGTGGACGGGCTCCCCATAGCCCCACGTCCCTCCCCACCCTCCCAAGGAGCAGAGTAGGCTGTGCCGGGAACCTGGAGCCGGGGCGCCTTTGCTCAGGCCACGTGACTGGCACTCGGCATGTACAGTGATGTGAGGTGGCCACACACCCCGGGCTCCTTTGCTCAGACGAGGTGGTGAGTACCCGGCATGTACACTAGGGTTGTGTGTGGGGATCACACACGCACTCGGGCTCCTTTGCTCAGCCACAGGTCTAGCACCCGGCGGGTACACTTAGAGGGTGGCTCACACACGCACCCGGGGCATCTCACCTTCCAGGTACTTGACCAGAAGCTGGATCTCCAGCTCCCACATGTCGGCCATGGAGGGGGCGATGCTCTGGCTCAGGGTCTTCAGAAGGTTGAGCATGGCGATTCCGCGGCCCTTCCCCTTTTAGGCGGATGACATCAGTACCTGGGGAACACCAGACTCCAGTGGGGCCCCTCGCTGGCTGGGTAGCCCCAGGCCCCGCACGCCCCAACCTGGGGCCTCACTGTCCGAGCCCAAAGAGGGAGAGGTGGACAGGATGGGGCCTTTCAAGCAGAGCTCCGAGGATTCCCAGGATCAGAGCATCCCTGCAGAGGATGCTGAAGGCAGGAAAGGAGACACGAGAGCATGGGCTCCCTCCCCACCCCGGGTTCCATGGAGCTCGGAACAGGGTCAACACAAGGAGGAGGATGCATGGTGCAGGGCGGAGCTGACCCCCAGGGAAGGGCAGACTGCTGACAGAGTCCTGCGGATGCTTGGGGCCATTCAAAGGCCCAGCAGAGAAATCTGGGAGCCTGCTGCCCTTGCTATATCTCCCCAGAGGGATGACGGGTGCCTGGAAAGCTCTGTCCTGCCAAGCATCCAGCTCCCTGTTCCCCTTGGAGGCCCTGGGGATTAGGAGCTCATGGGAGGGGCGCTGAAGGACACAGCAGGGGCCAGGCCAGTGCATGGCACCGTGAGCCACTCACCAGGAGTCGGGTCAGCAGCTTCTGTGGTGCGGGCAGATCCACTGGGGAGAGAAAGATACAAAACACTGAGGCTGCCCCGCTCCCGTACCCCAGGGGAGCTTCCCCTGCAAGGTGTTGCCCCAACAGCATCCCAGTGCCCCCCAGAATTAAGGAGGGGCCAGGAAGGGGAATTTTCCACAAAGGACATCACTATAACTGGCCATCCCGGGAAGCAGGAGCCTGGTGCTATATGCTGGGGCTGAGAAAATGCTCTTTTTTTTAATATATTTATTTATTTATTTAAATTGGCAGATAATTACTTTCCCATATTGTGGTGGTTCTTGCAATACACTGACCTGAATCAGCCATGGGTGGACATGTGTTCCCCATCCTGAACCCCCCTCCCACCTCCCTCCCCATCCCACCCCTCAGGGCCATCCCAGGGCACCGGCCCTGAGTGCCTGCCCTGTTTCATGCATTGAACCTGGACTGGCGATCTATTTCACATATGGTAATATACATGTTTCAGAGCTATTCTCTCACATCATCCCACCCTTGCCTTCTCCCACCAAGTCCAAACGTCTGTTCTTACCTCTGTGTCTCTTTTGCTGTCTCGCATATAGGGTCATCGTTACCATCTTTCTAAATTCCATATATATATGTGCATGTACTGTGCTCTTTTCAGGACGTGCCTGCTTGGGAGTGCACACCCAGCCGGCCTGAGAGTGGTTCTCTCCTACTGTGAGTCTGGGCCTCCTTGAGCCAACAGTAACTAGACACCGCCCCCTCCTCTCCCTTCCCTCTGCAGGCTTTGGGAGGCTTTGAACCCACAAGTAGGGAACTCACAGCATTTGGACCAGCGACTAAGGGAACAGCAGGCCTGCTGGAAGCTGCAGGGAGGGGCGGCACCCGGAAGGAGCCAGCTCTAGACGCAGGGTTGGGGCAAGAGGCAGACCAGGGGTGGTCTAGCTGGATGCTCAGAGCAGGCTCTGCCCCTTCCATCGCTGGATCCTGTAGGCTTGCAGTCACCTACTGTCACCAGCCAAATCCATCCTCAAAGCCCCAGGACCATGACAGCACCCCGCTGGGACAGCAGGGTCCCCGTAAGTAGGTCGGTCTAGTCCCTTTCTTGAGGGTCTGGTGCTAAGAAGTGGGTCATCACGGTGAGTTGGAGGGCCTGGTGGGGGTGGTTCCAGAGGACTCGGATGGGATATACAGTCCTTCCAGTGGGCTCACGGGGGCCAGAGAGCTCACACCTGTTTGAAGCCTGAGCCAGGACCCCTCTCCTGGGGTCTGGGCCAAGGTGGGTGGTAGGTGGGGACGAGAGGAGTGGGCTGCCAGAGGAAGCGTGCATGGCTTTAGCCTCTTCAGATTTTGGCAAAAGCGGCCTCTTTGGCAAGGCCTTGCTCTCTGGGCTCCAGGCAGCTTCCTGGAGAAGGGGGAGCGGTCCGAGGCACGGGGGGGCCCACCTGCCCAGTCTCTCCAGCTGACGCAGGGGGGCTGCCCGCCGTGCCTGCTCTTGCTTGTGCTGGCCTCCTCGTCCTTGGCGTGCAGCTGCCGCTCAGCCAGGTTGGCGAGGCTGCCGCAGATGGGGGTCAAGGGCTCCGTGTAGTCCGTCTCCATGATGCAGCACAGGACCCTCTCCCAAAATTCCTGTGGGGGGTGATGGGGGTAAGGTGGGGGTGCTGGGGTCAGCCAGCCTGGGCATCGCACAGTCCTGTGATGAGATGGTCGGGGGCCCCCACCTACAGCATTGTCTCAGCCTCGCTTCTCCAGAACCACACTCCGACCCATGACTGACCACCTCAGCCCCGGCCGCTCCGCTGCCCAGCCTGGGTCTCGGGCAAGGCCGTCTAAGCTGCTCCCACTCCAAGGCCGAGGGGGTCAGCTAGTCCTGGGCCCTTGACCTTTGTGCCCGCTGGCCTCACTCCAACCCCGCACCCAGCACATCCTCTTTGACCAGCCCTCCCTCTAGTGGAAACCCACTCCAGTATTCTTTTTTGAAGAATCCCATGGACAGAGGAGCCTGGCAGGCTACAGTCCATGGAGTCCCAAAGATTTGGACACGACTTAGCTACTAAAGTGAAGTCGCTCAGTCGTGTCCAGCTCTTTGCGATCCCATGGACTGCAGCCTACACGTTCCTCCATCCATGGGACTTTCCAGGCAAGAGTACTGAAGTGGGTTGTGATTTCCTTCTCCAGGAGATCTTCCCAACCCAGGGACTGAACCCGGATCTCCCACATTGTAGGCAGATGCTTTATTATCTGAGCCACCAGAGAAGTCTAATTTCAGACAGGCTTCAGCAACACGTGAACCATGAGCTTCCAGATGCTCAAGCTGGTTTTCCAAAAGGCAGAGGAACCAGAGATCAAATGGCCAACATCCACTGGATCATCAAAAAAGCAAGAGAGTTCCAGAAAAACATCTATTTCTGCTTTATTGACTATGCCAAAGCCTGTGACTGTGTGGATCACAACCAACTCTGGAAAATTCTGAAAGAGATGGGAATACCAGACCACCTGACCTGCCTCTTGAGAAACCTGTATGCAGGTCAGGAAGCAACAGCTAGAACTAGACATGGAACAATAGGTTCCAAATAGGAAAAGGGGTACGTCGAGGCTGTAAATTGTCACCCTGCTTATTTAACTTACATGCAGAGTACATCATGTGAAACACTGGGCTGGAAGAAGCACAAGCTGGAATCAAGATTGCCAGGAGAAATATCAATAACCTCAGAAAAGCAGGTGACACCACCCTTATGGCAGAAAGTGAAGAGAAAATTTTTAAAATGTATCTCAATGAAAGTGAAGGAGGAGAGTGAAAAAGTTGGCTTAAAGCTCAACATTCAGAAAACTAAGATCATGGCATCTGGTCCCGTCACTTCATGGGAAATAGATGGGGAAACAGTGGAAACAGTGTCAGACTTAATTTTGGGGGGCTCCAAAATCACTGAAGATGGTGATTGCAGCCATGAAATTAAAAGATGCGTACTTCTTGGAATGAAAGTTATGACCAATCTAGATAGCATACTAAAAAGCAGAGACATTGCTTTGCCAAAAGGTCCATCTAGTCAAGGCTATGGTTTTTCCAGTGGTCATGTATGGATGTGAGAGTTGGACTGTGAAGAAAGCTGAGTATCAAAGAACTGATGCTTTTGAACTGTGGTGTTGGAGAAGACTCATGAGAGTCCCTTGGACTGCAAGGAGATCCAAGCAGTCCATCCTAAAGGAGATCAGTCCTGGGTGTTCATTGGAAAGACTGATGCTGAAGCTGAAACTTCAATACTTTGACCACCTGATGTGAAGAACTGACTCACTGGAAATGACCCTGATGCTGGGAGGGATTGCGGGCAGGAGAAGGGGACGACAGAGAATGAGATGGCTGGATGGCATCACCGACTCGATGGACATGAATTTGAGTAAACTCCGGGAGTCAGTGATGGATAGGGAGGCCTGGAGTGCTGTTAGTCATGGGGTCGCAAAGAGTCAGACACGACTGAGTGACGGAACTGAACTGAACTAGCTACTAAAGCAATAACAAATGCATCAGAGGTCAACAGAGCAAGACCCAAAGCCACCTAGATCCAAGACTTTTTAATTAAGATTCCAGCTTACCATCTGTCCACACTGCCTCAGCCTCTGCATGCTGCCTCTCACACCAGGGAGCTCATGACCCGCAGCAGTCCATCTCTACTTCACTGAATCCAGGTGGTAGAAAACAAGTGTCCCCCATGTAGTGCCAACACTCATCCCCACAAAATTCACTCATTGTTCCTCAGTCTGCCTTCTGCAGACATGTTAACCAGTATGGGACAGACCCCCGAAGGCACTGGTCACATGCCCCTTCTTCCACAGCCCACATTTGCTCTACCTTCCACTCTCCTCTGGGCTTTTTCTTTCAAAGATTATTCAAGTGACATGATTGCAGTTCCATCCCAAAGACCCTGACTGTGCACCTGCAGTGTGCAGCTAACTCTGGTTCTCCGCGTGGTGGAT